GACAGACACAAGGAGAGATACAATAGAGATTTCGATTAATGTGTTACTTATCTGTCCTTAAAAGAACATCGATGAAGTGAAATACTTCCTTCCCAGTCCTGTTGGATTATGTCTACCCATTTACATAACTTGCCACAACTCACTGGATTACTCTGGTGACACCTGTGACAAAAATATATGAGGTATTGTGGTGAAATCAAGCGCTCGTCAAAATAACGAAGCCAAAGAAACAGGCATTCTATCTGCTCCTTGGGCAATTTCTGTCAATTCTTTTTTGTTTGTCTCAACACCTTTTATGTCCATCAATAAACACATTTCTGTGCAAATTTTTGTGACAACGTTTTTCACATGCACAAAAATGTACATTTGCTGTTTTAAACTTCGTAAGTCACCAAACTTTTGGAACCAGGTGTTCGCTAATTTTGCCTCTGATACCAGGCCACTCCCAGCTCCTATAATCGCAAATACCACGACTTTTATTCAAGATAGATCGGAAATGTGTCCATCAACTGCAAGATGCATAAACGAACTTAGAAACGATACCAATAACTCCATTGTCCCAAAAATTGACGACTGCCTCATCCAATCGCGTCATGACGCAATAGTATTATTTCTTTGACAAAACAGTTGAAAACGTGTAACTGGCGTCTGTGGTGTTATGGTTAGGTCGTTCTGCATCAAAGTTGCCGTAAAACATGTACCAAAGCAAAACGGAACCCGACCTCATTTGATTCCTGTTTGTTTGTGTTTTAAGTTTTAATAGAAGAGGTTTTACGGCGCTCGCAACTGCATAAGGTCATATGAGCACCAGACGATTAGAGGTGTTACAAGAGAGTAACAAGCATAAAAAAGAAAAAGGGGAGATAAGGACGATAGATGTTTCATAGGAAAGAAGAAGCAAACCACACCAGAGCACCCGTCAACCACCCACTAGCCATGAACTTCGTTCTCTTCTCTTTTAAACCAAACTCACCAGTTGGTCAGCCGATGGTTGTTGAAAGGCGTCACTTGTTGGTTCTACGTCTTTACTTTTCCTCGATTGTTTCTGACTGTCTGTCTGTCTGTCGTACTGAACCCCATCACGAAATGACCACGATTGTTGTGTCTATGTGCTTCACTTTACTCAAGCAAACTAACAAGCACACCAACCAACAAACAAACAGACAGACAGACAGACCAACAAACCGGTTGGTCCCAGTCGGTACCCTTATGTTTTTTTAAGTTGGAGGTATCAGTTTCACCTGAAAAAGTTGTTCTAACAGGTCAAGTCTGTAACACGCATCGCCACTACGACTGGCGCTACTATTAATTAATAGTAATATTTTTGTTTAGGCTACATTTGTCTATAAAGTAAACGAAAGACCTCAATTCGGAAATTTACTAGACCAAGTATGCACTTCAGGGTTTCTACTCTTAAAGGACTCACATTTTGGTCGCTGTCCACTGTAAGGGTGACAGAAAGGTGCAAGCTAGTCCGTCCTTCGTCTTTCCTTTCGCTGGGTCTATTTTTTTTTTGTCTATGAGACGTGATCTTTCATCGTAGCACTAAATGTATGACATCTTGGTGAAATCAGGCGGTCGTCAAAATGATATAATAAAAAAAAGAATTTTGCAGCCATTTCGGCAACCTTTTTTTGTCGATTTTCAACTTTTTGTTTTGTTTTCGTTTTTGTTTTGTTTTGTTTTGTTTTATTTTTTATTTTTTAACCCATTCAAACCACTAAAAACAACAAATCCGCTATCTGTCTCACGATTATGAGTTCGTTAACCTAATCACAAGACTACCAACGTTTACAAGTACAATACCAAAGTAACCATGATTCATCATAATAGACCCTGCGGCGACGCACGCTGATGGCCTGGGTTCGATTCTTGTTTGGGAAATATAATTTTATCGAGAATCTCAGTCTTTCTGAGGGGACACTGCATCCCTCTCACCAGGGGTTGGCCGAAACAAACAGGATAGAAGCCTGCGCTCCTAAATTACCTAATTTATGTTGATGAGGACATAAAATACCAACTTTAAAAACAGACTCAACATGAATTAGTCGGTATTAATTTACTTCAGCTTGTTTTAAGTAACATTTTTCCAGAAACGTTGTTTTAGTAGATGCGTCAGGTACGAGTATGTACCTGAGCCCAGGTGACAGAACACTGGTGAGGGCTCAGGACTCAAATCCAGTTCACAGTCTTGGTCTGTCATAAAAGTTTTCAGAGTTCTCCATTCTGTCCGACTGTTGGAATTTAGCAGTGGTATAAAAGTACACAGAGTAATAAAGTGAACATGAACCAAAAATACCATTTCAAAAGAAAAACAACCATTGTAGGAATTAAGTTTATTTAGAAAGATTCGTATTAAAAGTTTGGCTTCATAATGTCCAAAGAGAGATATAGACAATATTTGGCATTTTAAAGTATGAATCCATAATCATGTGCATACACAAACACACACACACACACATACACACACACACACACACACACACACACACATACACAC